AAGGAAACTGTTAAAATGTAGATGTTGGTTTACAGATTCCTCTACCTAAATCTAGAGAGAACGATATAGTAGGGAGAGAAAGCAAAACGTAATGGAAAATGAGGTAGGATAATTAGGTAAAGGGAAGATATCTATAAAGAATACCAGTATTCCAGATCAACAAAAACAGCTGAGGTTGCATGGGAACAAAGGAATTAATAGGAGGGAAGATATAGTTATTAATAGATCAGGTAATTGCCTCCTTAAGGGCACCTTTTTAAAACATATCACTGGTTTGTGTAGTTGGTGTAATATCACAGAAATGGTTGAATGTGTTTTTATTCAGTGTACTGTATAGGCATGTTGGCCTAGAGTTAGAGCAGTGCTTGTGCTTCTGAGAAGGTTGCAAGTACCTGGTTCAATCCCTACAGACTGCCGCTCTGGGTCCCTGAGCAAGACCCTTAACCCCACTCTGCTCCCCAGGTGCTGCACAATGGCAGCCCACTGCTTCCCAAGGGGATGGTTTAAATGCAGAGAGTGCATTTCTTCATTATGAGATCAATAAAGTTCTATACGGCAGGTATGGAAATCAAAGAAGAATTTTTTTAAGCTAAGTTTTAAGTTTAATGGGGAATTTAATATTTATACTAATAATTTAAATAAGGAAATATATTTTAAAAACTGACTTAATCGAGCGAATTTAAAGAAAGATGATCAAAACAATATAATACACGAGATGGCAGCAGTGTAACATTATTTGGGTGCGAGCTTCCGTTAAAAAAAGGTGTAATGTTGCCTCCCTAACGCTAGGTGTCGCCGTTTCTAATTCTAAACTTTTAAAACAAAAATAAAACATGGCTGCGCACCGTGTGCTCGGTGCTCCACTCAGGCTGTGAAATAAACATTAAAACGGCTTGTGATTTCAGTCAGTTTAAGGTATGATTCGTTTGTTCTTAAAAACGCCTAAATGTGTTTATATCGTGAACGTGTTATATGAAGGGAGCCAGATAGTTTTCTTCATTTAATGGAAAATACCTGTCCATACACGTGTTTAATTTTAGGAACAGTAAAATAATAATTGGAATACACAATTTTTTATTTATAGGGTACCGATAATGATATAATTATAATATGCTAAAATAATGAATGTATTTACCACTAGCCTGAATGGCTACACAAACAAAACCTAATAAACGGAGACTCTAAGGCTCTGTATTCACGCAGGTTTGTTGAGGTTCAAATATTTGCCTTCGAGCTGAATCCCTTTTCTGCACCACTACCCATCTTAAAAGCTCTTTTTTTCTTTTCTGTTGCAGTAAACTTTAAATATTACCCTTATCAAAGAGACTAAAGTAATAAAAACTGTTACAATTGGAGAAACAATGTTGACATGCATAAGAAGGGAAATTAATTGAAATATGGGAAAGCTTTGTGTGTGTGATTGTTTGTTCCAGGTAGTGGCACAAACAAAATATAACAGGTTATGGAAGGTAGGTGCAGATTTGTTTTATGAGGAGGAAATCAGTTATGGTTGGTCCAAGATGGTTTAAAGAGAATATTAGACTGTCTTAAAGATAGTAAACAAAGATCATAATAAAGAACGTTTATGAAATGATGCCAAGGTTTCCACCCTAAATGGATTTCTGTTTCAGGTTTTAGATGAGACATGGCAGCTGCAGCAAAACCGTCTAAGAAGGAACTCAAAAAGCAACTTCAAAGTAAAACTTCCTTCACATCACCCTTCAGTGCACAATGGAGCCCGCTTCCACAAAAAGAAAAGGATTTCATCCTGACAACTTTAAAGGACAAAATTGTCGCCACAGGTCTGGAGAAGAAGGAGGTGAAGGTGTGTCGTCAGTGGAGGAAGAAAAAAGAGATTGAAGGAGATGCTGCTGAGGAACCTGCTCCCCAGGAAGTCCAGGGACTTGATCCCACTAGAAGCGGCTGGACAGATGTGGCAGCTAGACGGCAGCTGGCCATCGGCATCAATGAGGTCACAAAGGCACTGGAAAGAAACCAGCTCCAGCTGCTTCTTGTTTGCAAGTCTGTCAGACCGCAACACATGACGAACCACCTGATCGCTCTGAGTGCGACGAGGGGCGTACCGGCCTGCCAGGTTCCCCGCCTGAGTGAGAGCATAGCAGAGCAGCTGGGGCTCAGAAGTGTCCTGGCTCTGGGGTTCAGACAGTGTTCTGAAGAACATGAGGTGTTCAAAGACACGGTTGACGCTATTAAACCCAGGGTGCCTGTACCGGATGTTGATTGGCTGAAAGGTGAAGCAGCTAGAGTGACCTCTGAGCTCTCAGATGGTCAGGAGGAGGAGGAGGAGGGAGAAGAGCAAATGGAAGAAGGGAAAGAGGAGGAAGGTGGGAGAAAACCACAAAAACGGAAACTGGAGATTGAATCTGAGGTGAAAGAGTCTGCTTTAACCTGCACTCTGCAGCCGCTGAAAGTAAAGAGAACAATTCCTAATCCTGCTAAGAAAAGAAAAATTAAAGTGAAAAAACAGAAAACCAAATAAGAAATTCTACTCTTACAGCACAGTGGATCCCATTGTTCTTTGTCTGGAACAATCCGTTAGCGTATTTTTTGATTTTCTTTTTTAATTTGCATTATTAAAACTATCCAAACCTCATGGTAAACATGAAGCTTTACTGTTGAGCTTTTCCTTTTACTGTTTGGTCGTAAAACATGACAACAGTTTTCAGTTGCAGCTGTACGTTTAAACCTTTTTTTTTATAATACTTATAAGTTGCTCTATTGCAAAATAAAGTTTTTATTTTAAAGCTAAGAAGATGCACTTTTTTGTTCAATTCTTTCTCAAAAAAAGTTTTCTCTTAGACCCATGAGCTAACATGAACATGAAGTAAATTAATTTGCTTAAAATATCAAAGCAGCATGCTGTGATCCTGACAGTGTTAAGACATTTGATTATAGATATCAGCTTAAATTCTAGTGAGACTTTAATTACAAAAATATGTATAGGTTATGAATTTCTTTACAATGTAATAGTACTGTTCTATCATGTATTCATGTGAGGTTAGCGATACTATTCAGATTTTTCAGCCAGACCTTTTAGGGTCTTTTTTTTTTAGGTTATTTTTATTCATGATTTCATCTTTTCTCCTCATAATATACTTCCCGCTGTCCAAACATTTGGTGAAATTGCATATAAAAACTGATCAGAGGTATCTGGAGGATGTCAATTTGTCTTCTAAACGTGTACTTGAGGTCTGTCCAGGACCTGCAAAAGGTTTCTGAGAACGCTGCTTGAATCTGAGGGAAATTTAGAAATAATAAAATGTGGAACTCGTATGAGTAAAAGAGTAGGGTGATTGGTTTCAGTTCTCAAATATGTTAAGATGATGAAAAGTTACACAGATAATCAGCAGATAAACATTTATAAATAGGGCAAACAAGGACATCACAGGAGAGGATTTCTAAAAAAAAAAAAGTTCCACTTCAGCCATGTTCTTTTTTTTAAAGTTTGAGTTTATTCAATCAAATATCCATGCTGGTATAGCTGAGGTGTTGTAACAGACTGGTATTTTTACTGGGTTTTATGCCTAAATGATGCTGGTACAGGTTTTTCAGCTTGTTCACAGTTTACAATGGTTCAAAATAAAAACATTGTTCTTCAGTTTGACTGGATGTTATTTCAAAGACACTCATCGCACCACCTTCAAAGATGTGAGGAAAATCTTAAAAAAAAAAAAAAAAAAAGGTGAGTGTTGCAGCCACTTAAAGTCTGACTGGAAAACATTTATGATGGCGTCAACATGGCAGCGGAACCAACAAGTTCATCTGAGCTGCTGCAGGCTTCACCAGGCACACCGTTGATGCAGCAACTGGATTTCAGACTTATAAATCAATGACAATAGCATGTCTTTGTGAAATAAATTCATTCCTTAGTTCCTTAGTCCCAGAGAATTTACTGACCTACGTTTTTGTCCTGATCTGGACAATCCAAATGGAATGAGAGAAAAACACAAATACAAAAAGATTTCTCAAAAATGAAAAACAGATGGAACCTTTTTTATGTTTTGCAGAGCCACAAACATTAAGAATGTAAAACAATTAGGCTTTGATAAAAACACACTCCACCTTAGAACAAGTGGTTGTCAAAACTTTTGCTTGTCGGAGCACACAGAACTGCTAAACTCTCAAAAAAAGTATGAGTAAAGTGAGAGTTGAAGCTGATGTCTAATATTAACAAATATCACAACTTTTACACATTTAGCTGCACAACACACTAAAACAAAATGAAACACTATATTGTTTTATGCCTGACAAATTTAAATAAACTCAGAAAGTCAAGAAAAATATGAAAACATGGAACACTTGTTGATTTAAAGGATTCCCAAACTTTTCCTTGTTAGAACATACAATTCATGACCTAGGTTCAGATTATCAAACTGTTGGCTTTAAATGTATTTATATATATTGCACTTCTGAACCATTGGCCACTTCACACTAGATTCTTTGCAACAGAGAAATACTCTGCAAGTGGCAAAGGCTAAATCAACTGAATAGATTGTGTTTTATTGATTATTCCCTTTTAGATCCAATAGGCCATTAAGCTATTATACTCTTTTCACACATGTTAATTTATACAAAATCTCAAGTCAAATATTCTGCCTTTTATCCCCAACGCTAAAGTGTAACCAAACCAACAAAGATGGAGTGCAATAGTAAACGCTACCACAGACTACAAAAAAAAGGTCTCCTTTATAACCTGAAACCAGCTCCCACCATTTCTCAATAACCGAACGTTTAGGATCAGAAAACCATTTGACCTGTTTGTAAAATTGTGCTTCATCAATGCAGTACATTCTCCAATAAAAAAACAAAACAAAACACAGACTTCTACATAACTTAACATTTTTAGATGAGCCCTCACCTGCAACTTAGACTACAGGAATACATGTGGTGTTGTTTTCAATGTAAACTATATCTTACAGTTTTGGTGTTCTATGAGACACCTTTGGGGGGAAATTACTGAAGGAAAAAAGGCATTTCTGTTTGGGTTAGAAACACCTTCTTTAAAGTTTCTAATCCTACATGGGCCCGAAAACGCCAGCAGAGACACATGACGGACCAAAGTGATATGAAAACAGGTACATGGAGCAGTGGCTTGATTGCAGAGGATAAACTGGATGTAAATTGGTAAATGTGCCTCATGGAGTATCATTTACAAGAGAATGTATTTAATACCAGCCCCTTGGTGACAATGTCTGTAAAGAATGAAGAAATAGAAACAAAATTCACAATGCCAAGGCATCCTCTGGATAGTCTGACTGTTGGGTTTTAGGACCAGGAGAGCATGTCAACAGAGTTGTTCTGCAAGGATATCTCAGGCATAGCATGACTTCACATTCAGGATGATAATTGAAGAGTTTTCCCCTCTGGGTGGACTGCATAAGTTCTTAACGGTACCACCACTTAGTCTCGGGGTTGGTTGACTTGTAGTTTTCACTGCTGAGCTCGGGGCGACCCGCAGGTCCAAGTGAGGAGGCCAGAAATCCGCCACCTGTTTGTGGAGCAGCCATGAGAAGAGCTGCTACTGAAGAACGAGGCCAACCTGATCCAAAAGCATCAGAGTCAAGAATTTTGATATAAGAATGCGTGCAAGAATGAAAACCTAACTACAACACACACTTCATGTTATAATGCAGTCTTAAAACAACACAAGTGGAACTGTAGCCTTTTGCGCTTCCTTCTAGCTTTTGTCTTTGTGTTATTCTGCTGACCTTATCAGTGTCCATCGGGGGACATTTCCAGTTGTAGAGGTAATACTGCAGGTTTCCGTCTCCTATGCCAAACTTCAGCTTCTCCAGAAACACCTTATTCTCCATCAGATCCAAGGCGTTGAAAACATCGAACCCTTTCTGTCAAACACACAACCGACACCAAGATGAGCCTCACAGCGATGGGAAAATGATGTCCCACACACTTTTTTAGCTGTACGCATTTGATGACATTTACATACAAAGTTTACAATAAAATATGAAATAACCTTTTCTCCTATAAAATCCAACAAAACTTTTCATATTTTACCAACTGAATGCCACACCTATGAGAGAGATAACTTTTGAAATTCTTTTGTTTCTGTTTAGACAATCACAATTACTACCCTTTTAAGCCCAGACGCTTTGTAAGCTTGTAGGACTTTACAACATCTGAATTTCCACCAGTGGGTGGATTTTAAGGCAACATCAACTTATACTTGGGAAAAAGAAAAATAAGCAAAGATATAAGGAAGACAGTCATCGACCTCCACACATTGTGTGTGGGGTGTTTTTTTTTGTTTAGCTTTTTAAAGCTAATATATCAGGGAACCTAATCACAATAAACGGCAGTCACTATAAAAAAAAAAACTTAAAAAAAAAAAAGGTAATGTGTTATTAAGTAACATGTTACCGTAACTGGATAACTTTTGCAGTAGCTAGTTTGCAACTAATTACTATGTAAAAGTTAGTAACGTGTTATTTATTGCTTCACTTTAAACTGATTTGTTAGTTGTTACTTAACATGTTTAAATAAGGACTGGTTTTCTGGTGTAAGCACACATGAGCATTACGTTACAGCGATATCCGCTTCAGCACGAACACAGAGGACAGACGATGCCACAGAGTCACTGATTTAATGAATGTTCCCAAAAAAAGAGCGCTCACTGAAAGCTAAATGTTTCTGTGATTTGCTCATTATGTACAGGAACAAAGATTTTATCAGCGTCGGTTAAAAGCTGAATTTAAAGAAGCTCCACACACAGTCTTGACACCAACTGACAGCTGCTGCCTTTAATCAGCACATTTTCTTTACTTTCTTTGGGCTATAATGGTTTTACATGCATGGTTTACATTTGTTAAGGCAAAAATACTGGGATCATACAGTCCTCCTAGGATTTTTTGTTTTTGTTTTGAGGATTTTGCAGCACTAGTGGCTAATGTTTTGTACAGTAGGCTGACAGGAAAGGGAGCATGAGAGAGGGGGAGACATGCGGCAAAGGACCACAGGTCGGATCCAAACCCGGGTCGGCCGTGTCGAGGACTAAGGCCTCCGTATATGGGTTGTACTCGCTAACCACTGCGCCACTGATGCCCACCCCTACTAGGATATTTTATTCTATTGAAAAGTATATATTCTATGTTTGTTAAGCTTGTTAAGCATTATTTTTCAGCTTTATATTTAATATTTTAGAATTCTAATAACAAGAAAGTTTTGCAAATACTTTGACATTTTAGATCATCAAAAAAAACTGCACAGTTCCTTAAGCTAGTAACTTTTTTGGAGATGTAACTAATAACTATAACTATTTAAAGCAACTTTCCAAACACTGCGATGGAACCTTGGCCCTGGGGACCATTGGAAATTTCAGCACAACAATGACCCAAGATAAGAAGAATATGTTAGCAAATACTAACACAATTGATTTGGAATGGGCAATTAATCGCCCATTCCAAATCATAGGAAGCATTTGATTGCTGTTAGAGCCAACACATGCTTTTTCTATTGCTTATTAAGTGGGGTATTAAGAATTCTTAACATGCCAGGGTTTGCTCTATGTAAATAAAAACTGAAATATTCTTCCCTCAACCATCTTCTTTAGTGTCCTGTTGTATTCAGTGAGACACCTGTGTCATATCCAATCAAGAAAAAAAATAAAGAGAAGTGTTTTGAATATGTCAAAATTTGCCAGGGGTGTGAATAATCTTTGGCTAGCCAGTATATGTGTACTTATTTTGGATTCGACCTTAAAAACTAAAAAAAACTAAAAAATCAGCATTGATCTTGATTCTTTGGTAGAAACAGGTACCAGTTTTGCCAGGATCAGAGCATCATTCATTAAGTCCAGTAGTGGGGTTTGTGTATGAACACTGTAGAATGAGTAAGCTGCCTTCAGGCTCCTATGTAGAGGATGGTGCATCACAGTAGAGGGCAAAGTGTAGAAACTAGTGAAATCTGTCAGTACGCCACCTGCAGTCTGAGAAGAGAAATACACATTTCTTTAGAGGAACAACAACAACAAAAAGGACTAGCTTGAGGATAGGTAGTACCTGTACAGACCTCTACAACATATGTGTCAATTATGTTTTCCTGTGGCAGGAACCAATGAGCGACCTCTTCTTCTCCCATGGAAGGTGCCAGATGGAAGCGTCTCAGGTACTTCTGTAACAGCTCGGTGACCTGGGGAAGGTCACGCCTCTCCATCGGCCGTAGGCCTCGAGTTTTGGTGCTCTATGAGCAAAAGAAAAGCAAAGGCATTTCTTAAAATGTTTTTTTTTACATTTATTGGAAGAGAAAATTGAGAATGTGAACAAATGGGTAGGAATCTTTTACATCTGGTAGCCTGTAAAGCTTCATGGTTCGTTGCAGGGTCATGTTTCTGCTAAGATGGGAGAACTTCACTTCCACCAGTTTCCTGGGGTTCAATGAACGATGCCAATACCTACAAAACAAAACAAAACACTGAAGAAAGAAGAAGAGATACCATGTTACTACATTTAACATTGAGTACGGTCTGTTATACCTGCATGTAGACACGGGTTTAGGCAGCACAACTCCAGCTGTATATACCGCCTGGAATATACCCTCCAGGTTCACCCTTCGTGTTATCTCTCGGATCAACACGGGAGCAACACGCTTCGAACGCAGCTTCTTATGAACACAAAGGAAGTTGATTTCTACCATCTTCTTTATCCTGCAGCAACAAGGACAAAGAGGGGTAGTATCACTGCCCGATTAGCTCCAGAACCCCCTGACTCAGTTAGCTCACGTGTCATAGACGCGGATGTCTGCAGGGATGGCACTGATGAATCCAACAAGCTTCTTATTAGAGGACACTCTTACTCCACAGTGCCACTGCGGTAACCAACCAGGTGGCCGGAGAGCCCTGGGAATATAAAGCACAGGGGAGAAGTTTCCACTGAACTTTCCAGGTCAAAACAGTTGCACAAAAAATTATATTTCTTATATTTCCGGGAAAGTTTCTCTAATCCATAAAGGCTCAAAATGTGCATTAAACTATTCAAGAGCAAATTTGTATTTAATTAAAAGGGAAATTCAAGAATAGATTAGAACATCTAGATCATAGAACATAGAAAAAAATATAAACATATTAGTATGTAAAAAATTACAATAATAAAAGAATTTGGGCAGAATAAACATATTTCCAAATCAATGTTTGTCGACAAAAAATAACACTTTAGGGGTGTTAGAACACAGGAAAGCAGTTCAATGCACTCTATGGTCACTTAAAATTCATATGGCTATGCAACCTCAACATAATAAAATTTAATCATAATAAGAAATAATTTTGTGTCCTGCTTGCAAATAGAAGTATCATTTAATATAAACTATCTATCTGCCTGTGTCTACTATTGCTTAGATAGAACATGCTAACTTTTAGCTTCTGGATTGGTTCTAACCTTAACCCCATTCAAAATGTGTTATCTATGCTTAATAGTCAGCAAAATGATCCATTTTAATTCATTCTACTAAGGAAGTGATTAAACAGTAAGCCAAGATTAGAAAAGAGGCTTGATGTTGACAAAAAGGGTTAAAAAGGGTTTCTGGATCTTACTAAGGGACAACTATCCTAATATTATTGCAGGTGCATATTTATATTTCAGTCTTTGTATAATTTAACCCTGTGTGGATCAGAAAAACTACCAAAAAAGATAAATGTTTGCCCCAATTCTATATTTCATATTAATCAGTTATACCCCTGCTCTAAAACAGCAGCAGATTTCAAATACACGAAAGGCCGATGTGTTAATATATCAATCCACATAGCAAGTTTGTGAACTTACAGCGTAAACAAACACAGATGGTACTTACCACTTGAGAAAGCTTGGGGAATAATCAAATCTGAACATGTTGTCATCGTCCTCCACATAGTTCTCATTTAACAACGTGTACAACTCTTTCAACTACGACCAGAAACACACCTCAAATCAGCCATTTATCACTGACATCATTACTTTTGAGTTTCCAAGACAAGAATCCTACTTACTACATCTGCATTACTGAGATCCAAAGTGTCCCACATAAAGCCTTGAGGTAAAGAATATGGTTCCTGCCTGATGTTCTCTTTGTCAGCTTCGATTGGACCGTGGCTTGTCACAACTTCATCTGCAAAAATAGAGCAGAGGGGGAATTATTTCCAAACAACAGAAGATTGTCAGATTGAAAAAGCATGTGTGTGGTTTTAAAATTTAAAAATAACACAACAGCAGAAAAGCTTAAGAGGTTAAATCCTGCTTCTCTTGGTCCTAAGGTGACAAGGCTATCCTGTAACATGAGCCCTCCTACACACATAGGAAAAGAGCTGGATAGAAACTGCTTGGAATAAAGAAACGCAGCAAAATAGCTTAAAATTTACATGGCGGCTGACTTTTCAGAGGATAACACTGTGGAATAAACCCTTTTAGAAAATATGTGTCCTCTTTAGATAAAACAGTGGCTAAAAAAAAACTGTGGTTAGTAAAATTGTTCTTATTCTATGTGCTGATTTTATTTTAAACTTACTTAACTTTGGGACAGGCTGCGTGTCCCAGAACTGATATTTGTGCTTGGTCGCCTCATCGATACTCTTTGCTGGACCCTGACAGGACAGCAGTTCCATGGCTCTTTGGATGTCCTGAAGCTTCTGAATGGGCAAGCCAGGGTTCTGAAAACATAACAATTACTTTAATTGAACAGGGAGTGAGGATTACATATGATATAAGATTTAATGTACAGCTGCAAAAAGACATAAACATGATCATAAGTCGTCTAGGCTGTGAAGTCTGTCCTGCAGCGTGTATGTAGTGTGTGGGCGGAACTATCTGGGGTTACATTATATGCAGAACCAGAAAAGATGGCCATATGGCACCCCATTCAGGTCGCAACAAGGTCTGAGCCTGTTGTGGGTCAAATTCCAAGAGGCTGGTTAAGAGAATTTTTTTTAAAATTATAATTAGAGCATATTCATGTGTTATTTTGTTTGTTGTAATAACTAAAAGTGAAAATGGGAGGCTTCATCTGTTTAATGGAGTCACAGGTAGCTGCACTGCAGGTATGCTGATTGCGTTGAAAACATTGTTTTTGACCACGTTGTCGCCGTTTATGTGTTGATCACAAAACAAAACTCTAATCTCCTTTGGTTTGATGTGTGAAACAGCCAATTCGCCTCTCGTTTAGAGCGCCTGATCAATAAATGCTCTACAATCACAGAAACTCAAGTGCTGATTACTGGATCCAGGAGGACAACGCATCAACTCAGAGCCAGTCAGCAGCCTCTCAGTGGCTTATGCTCATTTGATTTTCTTTAAGAACAAGTCATTATAACTATATTTATTGGAAAAGAAATACAGAAGAGTATAGTAACCGCTTCTTGTTTTGTCTCCATTTATATGTTTTATGAGCAATATTAATTGCTTTGTCGAGAACATTTGGGATCAATAGGCATCGATCAGTCCTTCTGTTAACTTGGAGCCAAAAATTAAACAGGTGTGGGTACTAATTCACTCCAAGCAGTGAATCAGAAACCTTTATTTAAGGAAAGGAATAGTTTGTTATTTAAACAGAAGAAAAAACATAAAAAGTTATATTTACAGTTTAGCACACAGAGTAAAATTGCTTTACTCTGTTAGGATTATTTTTATTGATGATGCAAGTCTGTTAAACCCTAATAATACCTGCATGTTATGTGTCAAAACTAATGTTTTCCCACTATGTTTATTTAATGAGGACAGTTCTTCTGTCAGGTTATACAGTTATGTTCATTATGTAAATAACAGATATTAGGAAATAAAATGGGGGCACATATAGTATGTGATGTTTTTACAGTTAGCTTTACCTTAGATGTGAAAACTACACCGAGCATTTCAGCTTGTGTGACTAATAAAACATGAACCTGAAAGTTTTATCCCAAGTTTTAAATTATCTCACTAGCAGCATTGCAATGTGGGGACTTTTTCTTTAGCAGGGACAGACAGAAGCAATCTGAATTGATGGAAAATGAAGATCAGATTAGACACCTGTGGACCTTTAAACATCATATTTACACTGATACCCCTATTTTATTTAGGGCTATAGGAGTAACAGCTAAATAAATTTTATAAAAATCATGAACGCCCTTTACTTGCTCAAGTGTCTATCATGTAAAATCAGAGTAAAATTCAAAATTGGTAATTACAAAGTGTAAAACGTATAATAAAAAATCTAATGGTAAGGAAGTTTTAATCAGAATTTTCTCTCTAGATAACATGACCATGGCTTGGCTAAAAGTTTTTATTATTGTCATCATCATCACCACCATACCTTGATTTCCTGAGAGTCAGAAGCAGAGTCAGATTTGGCTCCGGAACCAGCGCTGGGCTTCTCCTTTTTCCTCTTCTGCTTCTTCTTCTTCCTCTTAGCCCCCAGGTCTCCCCCAGGACTGCTACATACACGGAGACAAGCGCACAGAGGACGTAAATGACACTGCTAGACACAGAGCTAACCTCGGCTACAATAACAGCCACTGACAGCTGAGCTACTTGCTGTTAGCCGACTAACGGTTTGCTCTAAAGGCTGGCTGTCATGTCAGCGAGGCTGCTACAGAAACTACAATAAAAAAAAGACTGGAAATGTTTTAGGAAAATATAACACTTTAGACAAGAAAAACAAGAAAAGTCTTTTTTTTTAAATGCCTTGTTCGTTGCTTGGTTGTGTTTTATCAGCTAACATAAACTAGCTAACCGCGCTAGCTTCACACACATATAACCAAAGCTACTCGCTCGGAATAATGTTAGAGCGTTTCTCCCCCCGCACCCGGCGGGACAGGCCACCCTTACCCCTGCAAATGCTCATTCTCCTCCTCATTGTCTCCGTCTATCCCACATGTATCCTGGTCGTCCAGCTCCAGGCTCTGCTGGCTGGCTGCGGACTCACTGTCCTCCGCCATCATCAAGATGCTTTAAAAAAAAACTGCCAGCAAGCGTTTTTTTAGAAGCTCACTTGACAGCAGGCGAGAGATGAGGGGGAAAAAATAAAAACAAAGAAAATATTGGAGGAAACAGCACCCCCTAATGGACAGGAGAGGTAGAGACAGACGTCCAAGCTCCCAGTTTATGGATTTGCAAAGAATGTGAAATGTGCTAAAAATTAATTCAATACCTCTGCAGTACATAATAGAAATTTTAAAACATTTTAAATTTTGTAATACTCTGTTTCAAGTGCTCTTGGAATTAGTTCTCCTTTTAAGTGCTTTAAGTCCCCAAATTTCTGTTTAATTTGCTTTTGAATTTGTTAAGGCTCTATCACCTACTAGGGAAAAATCATATATATATATATTATTTTAACAGGGCATTGCTACCTTTTTCAAAACGTTCACCTATACCCAGTAGACAGGTTGTTCAGGATCCATTTTCTGCTGTTAAGTGAACCTCTGGCCCAGTTTCAAGTTTCCTTACCCTTTATTAAGCTTCATCCCTTCTTGTCCCTGTTTAAGGCACCCCCGTGCATAATTCTGGATAATAATGTTTCAAATATAAGGGTGGCATTGGCTGATGGGAGATGTTAGTTTCCAACAAGATGTTGCATACTTACTGTGTAAATTTAGTCTAAAAGGAGAGCCCCCTTAAGATGGAGCAATCTCAAAAGATTCAATTTCAGTCTAATGTAAGCAGAGCAACTCCTTTCTCTGTTAATGTATTTCTCACATAACTTGTTGCAAACTATAAAAAAAATATATAGGTTTTCTTCTGGCTTTTTCAATAAGGCCAGAGTGTACCAAACGGTGAGCACAGCTGTCCTGTCCACAGAATTTGTAAGTACTATGTTTTGGTCAATCAAGTTTAAGGTTGTTACATGACTAAAAGTCAGGTATGCACATTTCTGCACTGTACTTGCACATGAAAAACTCCCATAATGAAACACAAAATCCCAGTTTGGTTGTTTATTTAGAATAATATGCTTAAAATATAAAGCAACCAACCAGTTTACACACTCAGAATTATGTATTGCTGCTTCGTCCATTAACTGGAGGTCATTGTGAGACAACATGAAAAAACATTCATAACACCAACTCACACATGATTTTGACTGAGCAGAGGTACAAACACAGCTATACAGACTCTGTGACTTCTAGGGGCAGATGAATATTGATTGGATTCATGATTTAATAGCCAGACTCAGAAGCCTCACAATAGACAACATATTCAAAAAGAAAAACACGTGAAACAAGCATTCGTTCTCAAAAAAAAAAAAAAAAAAAAAAAAAAAATCAAACTTCTGTAGGATAGCTTCACATACAATTACGCATAGCTTCATCTTTCCTGAAAAACTGCCTCCGCTCATGGAGTGCCTTGCAGCACTACTTTAAAGACCTTTTAGGATTGCAGCAGTTTGCAGACATTTTCTGAGATGTCTGCAGTGTAGCTGTAGTAATATCTGAGTGCTGAGGAAAGCACATTGCATGCTTCCCTTCACAAGCAGGAGAGAAAGAGAAAGGGCTGAGGTAGAGGAGGAAAGCTAAAGGCAAACGAGCAAAAAAAAAAAATAAAAGTTGCAGAATCGGGTGTTTCAAAGGCACTTGGATTATGAGTGTAAGGAGAGACAAAAACACAGCAGAGTTAGATGGCAAAATATTCTGCAGCGTTTGATTCAGCTCTAACAATAAAGCCAGGTAAAGAGAAAAAGCCCTTGATACATTACAAGAAAAACAAATAAAAAACAGCCCACTTTAAAGGGAAAAATACTTAATATTGGCAATTAAAATCAAATGTACAAAAAGGCATCCAAAGCAGCCATATAAAAGTGATGCATAGCCTCGAAAATAAAAATATGCAAATCAGTGGTTCAGCAAATATATAAAAAAAAAACCTTCATAATACCTACTTCACAATTATTAAAGAGTGAAACTACATGGTTTGTAGTGGTAATTTAAACCTTACCAGCAAAAACGCTGTCACATTATCTGATTGGGCCAAGGAGCAGGTAGTCATTTAATTTTAGATCTAAAACATCAGCGCCCACGTTAGTAAGTCTTCTTCATCATATTAAAAGCCATGTAAAATACAGGATTTAAGTGTTTATATTAAGGCTGATGCTGTCGAAGGGTTTAAAGCAGATGCTAGCGATTCCTATTAAACTATACAATTACATGTCCTGATGTGTACATACACTCCAAAGCCATTTAAACCAGTTACCTAAGCTAAAATGGGGTTTTATTCGGACTCTAAATAGGTTCTTCCTGGAATTTTGCCAATATGGCTCAAGAAAAACTGGCTGCTGTGATCAAGTCATGGATTATTTCCACCACAGTCCATTTACACAAACAAGGCTCCTTGTATAAAAAAAGGCATACATTTGTTGTGCATAAAATCTTCCATAATTCTTGCCTCCAAAGTCTATTTGTCAGCCGCCCAGTGCTAATTTGGTAGAGGTTTCTACAGGTTTATGAGGGACTTGGATTGTTCTGCATTTAGTGCCCCCCCATGCTGAAACATCTTCTCAGTGCTTTCATAAGAGCAAAAGGTGTTCATTTAAAAAGGATTCATCCTTCACGTTCTTATCCAAGCAGTCGAGGAGCAGTGGTAAAGGGGAGGTTTACATTTTCTGTTTGCCGATAAACCTGTTTTATGCTCACTTTGGATTTTTATCCCGTTCAAACTCACTAGATTATCTTTGTCGAGATCATAGTGTCAAATAAAATAGTCAAAAATTGCTGAATTTCTAACTTCATAACTCCCCTCCTTATTATGTGTCTCAAGGTATACATTCAATACAGGTGCATCTTAGTTAACTCAAAATATCAAATTAGGTCAGTTTAATTCAGCAATTTATTTCATATTATCATATTACTCAAACTAATTTAAGAGTGATAGATTTGAAGTGTTTGTGTGTATAAATATAATCAAATATGGCTTAAAGTGGACAGAAAGCTAAAATTCAGTTTCTCAGACGAGTAAAAATACTTAATATAGCAATGCTGACCTATGATGGATAACCGATAATATTTGTGGAATTCTAACTTGTCCAATACAGAGGTAAGCCCAAAAGATCACTGTCTGAGTGAAATGGAAACCTTTGTGTAAAAATGTACACAATCAACCATCATTACTGTCCTCAGGATTTTACAGGAAATCCAATCCAAGAATTTGGGCGCCTGTCACGGAGGATTTATTGCACCTGCAAAATCTTTTTGTAGTATTCACTTTTTTTTTGAGAAACTGAATTTTGGGTTTTCATCATCTGTAGATTATAATTATCAAAACTGACAAAATGAACACTTCAAATATAAAACTCTGAATATAATGAATCTAATGGAGTTTTTAATGAGGTTTCAATTCCCTGAAAGGCACCTGTAAGTGTGAGTTTTAGAACAGAGTTATCACCCTTTAGTCACTGATAAACTACAATCCAGAAATAATTTGAATATATTATGGCTTGTGAGTATTTATAGACGTAAAGCTCCCCTTTAACAGACTTCTGAGACTTATTTAAGGTTGAAAGCCAGCAGGGGTCGCTCCTCCCTTCTCTGCCAAGGACTTTTCTTCTCCTCCTCTCCATCTTCATGTGCTGTATCATCATCTGGGGAGACTGACAGCAGTGCGTGATCAGTCCTGAAAGTCACTCCCTCTGGTGTGGGCAGAGGAGGAGGAGAAGCAGGAGATGTCGGGGAAATCGAGGGCGGTTCCTCTAGTATTTGGACTCCCTCGGCTGGTCTCCCCTCCACGTCTCCTGGTCCCTGATTCTCTTTGTGGCTCTCAACGCCGGGTTTCCCTGCTTCAGGGCTGCCTTTTTCCTCCCCCTCTATATCATCCACGTACACAAGCTGGGTGTAAGATGTGGCAGTCTTTCTCTCTGATGCTCGATGTTCCCGCTCTGCTTCTCCTGCCCTGCGCCCAGCTCTGGGCTCATTAAGGTCCACACCAGAGTCCAGACTAGCATCATTGCCATGTCTCCCACTGCCATCATAATCTTGTTGATCTCCAGCGCTCTGTGTATTACTGTGACAGCCCGCCCGCTGGAGGTCGATGTACGAATGGCGGATATGAGCATTGGAGCGTCCGTCCAGAGACACAAACCAAGCACGAGGGTGAGGCAGGGGTTTCCCTCCTCTTAGCTCCATTAAAGTCTTTTCAGCCAGCAAGGTGTCCTCTTTGTTTATCTCAACAAGAGACGTTTCCCCCAGAGCAGCAGGGATAGACAGAGACTCTGACAGGCCGAGAGCTTCTGCCTCACCCTGCTTGCTGGGGTCTGGGGTGCTGTCAGAGGGGCTGGGCCCCAGGGGCTGCTGAGAATGTGAAGCATTGAGTTCAGCCTGGATGGTCTCTAAGTCACTTTGCTGGTCTGTCTGCAACAGAAGGGCCTGACCAGACAGCGGGTGCTCACCAGGGAGGCGCATGTAATGTGCCGGGATGACCAGGGTGGGGCGCACTCTGGAGTAGCTTTCTCCTGCACTCAGCAGGTCCACCGAGCCACAGCAGAGCAGCTGGCCTGGTCGAGAGAGTGACTGAGGGTTTGAGCGCTCCAGGTGGTCTACAGAACGAGACAGCAGGTGGTCAGGTGCTCTGCACTCCCCTCCCTCCCCCCTGCACGGGGATCGGGGGGGAGAGGATGGAGAGATACAGTCAATAATACCGACACTGCTCAACTGGGTGACCGACACCTGGCCCTGATTGGATGATGACAGTGCTTCTGACATCTGGTTGCTGGATGAGCAAACGGAGGTGTATGACTGACGGTAACCTCTCTCTGTCCCACATGACAGTCCAGCCTTCAAAGGAAAAGTCTCTGCTGACTGCCGGTAGTCCCTGCTGCGAAGCGTCAGGTTGCCGAGGGACGAGCCCTGGTGGCTGTTGTTGCAGAGAGAGGAGCGGCTGTGTTTGGCGAGCTGGATTAGGCTCTGCTGCCGCTGATTGTCTTGGGATTCGTACGAAGAGGGCTTCAGCATCGGCGTGGTCATGTCAGGTTCGGTTGCTGTAGAAACAATCTCCAGCTGCACCTGAGCACAACCACATTTTGTCAGTTAGATTTATGGTAGATATTTACACATTGGTGAAACTTTATATACATTAGTCAAAGCTGTCCTGTTACAGCAGCTGCTTTAGTCTCAAAACCAATAATCTTGGGACACAACCCAGATTTTCACCCTCACAGATTTTAATAAGCATGGTTTACTCTGGCTTGTTTAACAACAGACAGACTTATTATCACTATCACACATCTCAGACTGCAGGATTTATGAAACCACCTAAGGCTACATTAAAATGCCAAACACTGGAGGGCAACAGGTTGAGGGGTAAAAACACACCAGTGGGTGGCAGTAATAAAAAAATACTCTCAGAATTATGACACAAATATTTCAGTTTAATTCCTTCATAGATTGAAAGAAATTTTATCCCAAATACTTTTAAGTTCAGCTCAAAGCAAGCGAGTTTTGCAAATAAAAGTTGGATTTGGTTAGTGCCGATTGGGGGATTTTTTAAAATAAATGTTTAAAGTTTGAAATATCCAATTGTTTTATGTAGGATAGTTATTTGGTCATTGATTCAGTTTTAATAGTGGCATTAAAAAAAAAAATATATATATATATATACCACTGCTGTATTAGAAATAGCTCGATTCTAATTGAAAATGTTTAATAAAGATCAAATAAACAATTTTATGTCTGAATATGATTTTTTTTTTTACTTTGTCTGAAAAAATACAAGAACTATTGACTTAAAAAAAAAAGTCACTTTGATGTTTATTGCATTTTGGTCTTAACTCTTCCACACTTATGTGAGTGTCTCCCTCTTTTTTGGCTTTGGTTGTAACCAATCACATTGTAATTAGTTGATATGTTTGTGTTATTCCCAGCGTTTTATATTCATGTTAATCTTGTTTAGTCACTAATAATGCTTTCAAGAAAGAAAGAAATTAAAACAGTTGGATCTGATATCAGTTTAAAATACCAGAGTCTAGGTTTGACTGAAACCTGACTGATTGAATTCAACTACTGCAGACTTTTACTGACTTTGAATCAGTGGTTAAAAAAAAACAAAAAAAACAGGCAGAGTAGTTCGCCTCCATCTTTAGACACACTTTGACATGCAGGACAGAGATGAGTCCCCTTTATAAGATGCCAAAGCCAACTCGAAAAGCACTCTGAGAGCGCAAACCTCCACCAGGCAGTGAACTTCCCCTGATATTGACTTAAACCTATAGCTAAAACTCACACATGATCTGAATCTTTTCTGAATTTAAGTGAATTGTTCCTTGGCATTAAGCAAACCTCTGGTAAAAATGACAGACAGACAAAACACACACAAAAACTCTCCTAAAAACATAAGTGGGCGGAGGAAATAAAGAGCCGCTGTCTGAGAAGGAGAGACAGACCTCATTGCTGATGAGGTTCATGTGGGACATGGAGGTTGCTTGATCCTTCTTAGTGTTGTCAAGACCAGTGGAAAGAGTGAACTTTCGATGAGACCCTCGAGGCTTTAAACAGCGACGCCTGCTCAACACAGAGATACAGCAGAGCTCATGAGAACAGCACTGGGGAAAAAACTGCATAAATAAAATAAAGAAAAACTAAGTCTTTGAATAGACAGCCATGTTTCTCACAAATGATAGTGAGCAACCAGAATGCCTCCTGTTGCCCAGTAAACACAGATGCATTGAATGATCCATACAAGGGATAACCAAGTGCCATCCCAAACAGCTTTGTGAAAATCATGTGGAGGTGTTTTTAGAGGGGCAATATCCCTCTACTCGTCTAAGCTTAACTTCCTATTTTAATACATGATGTGTGAGTTTGCATGGCACACCCACATAAAAGCAAAATGTTTTCGGGTTTTTTTTTTGTGCATATACTGCTTGTAATTTTTTTTTTAGTTCATGCATTATATTAATCCAAGGATTCTCAATTCAACAAGTGAGAGATAAGGTTGTGAAATGTTCCCATTTTACCCACCGACAGTAGTACAAGAGCAAGCCCAGCAGGGACAGCAAAATAAAAGCCATGCCTCCAAGTATGGCCAACAGGAACACAGTATGGTAACTGCTGAAGTCCCTGGTCACCATCACACCTGGAAGACAGACAATAAAAAATAGCTCCTAAAATCAAAAACAACTAAAAACAACATTATATTTTGTATAGATGTTTTACCCGAGTGCAGAGGAGACATGACAGCCATCCAATACCCAAGCTGGGGAGCATAGTATTTCAGAATCAGCTGGTTTCCCACCCTCTGTACGTGGCCTAGGCTGCCGTCAATCCAGGCCCCTACATGAGCAAAACCACATTTTTAGAAAAATAATTTTTTTCTAAAAAAAAAAGAACAAAGAATGTCAAAAATAACTGCAGAGGGAATTGGCGACAAAGTGAAAACAACATGATCTGCAGCAAGTCCCGCCTGACTCCCTAAGCGGGTAAAGACAAAGGAGAACTGTTGTAACCTTGTTCAAAAGTCACCACTACTTCTCCGCTACTTTAAGTTTTAGATTATAAAGTTGGAAATGGGCAAAACTATTGAATTTCAAACAGCCTTGTGAACTTGAGATCAGTTGTTGCCTTGCAAAATAGAAAAAAACAAAAAAACTTTTCACCTTTTTTCACAGCATTTGTCCAACCTTCTTTTTAAAAAAAAAAGAAAAGAAAAAAATAATAATTTTCCCTGCCCTCAGGTTATATTACGTCAAAATATTAGTGAATAACACTCAGTTGTTGTGACGTTGTATATTTAGTTTAAACTAATTCACATAATTGCCTTATTTAATATTTTTATGCTGTATTTTATTCTTTTACCATGTTTTATTATTTTTAGCTAGGTTCAGAACTTTTTTTTTTAGCTGTAGCTGTTTTAAAGCACTCTACACATAAAGATGATGAATAATGTGATGTGTAAAGATAACGTAAGGCTGCGCCAGTAGGCAGTGCCTGCTGGAGCTTCAGCATCAAAATGTTTCTGGAACTGTTGAAAAAACTTCCACACTGTTTACATTTGATCACTGCTGTACTTTATGGAATAAAGATTTTCATTTACTGTCTGAAAGCTGTACTGAAGAAATTTTGTTTTGTATATTATCTGTACATGCAAAATTACAATAAAAGTCGTCTAAGTCTACGTTAAATAATGATTATTATTTCTAATCTGACTGTTAACCAACGCAGAATAGAAGTGTCTGCCAGAGCAGAGAATAACTCTAAAAAGGAACAAGTTTGGTCACCAAACCTTTGTCAAAAATTTTTTTTTTGAATAGCCATTCAAAATAAATTAATTTCAAACTTTAATTAAATCATTATGGCAACTTGCTTTTTGTAATACTGACTTTTTTTCCACAGATAATTGGCACAGAGGAGCCAGAATATCTCAGGAATTACAGCTGTTCAACCCAACAGTATATTAGAATTATACGTCTTAACTTCACTTTGCATTTTGCAAAACTAGGCAGCCTTAGCCAAGCATGAAGGATTGCCATCAATGCAATAAGCTGCTATGGATTAAAAAACTTTAAACCAATGTGACTTTTATGATCTGGTTGAGTCTTCTCTGTGAAGGGCCTTGAGATGATATGTGTTATGAATTGGTCCTAAATTGATAAACTGAACTGAAAACCTAGTCTGATGAATAATAGTATGGAGATATAGGAAATGGGTCTTTTTACTTGTTTTCTGTTGTAACATAGTCTTATATAAAAAAAAAAAATGACTACGAGTAATTGTTCCTTTAAGGAAGTCTGTTTACCTTTCTAAGAAAGGAAAAGTTTGCTTATCTGATCCAGCGTTACACTTCACATGAGATCTTTCAAATACTGGTTCTCTCCACTTGTTTTGGGGCTGAAAAGTCAGATCTTCCCAGCTGGACTGAGACAGTGGAATAAAATTCAAAATTCAATCGCTGGACTCTACTGATGCTTTAATAAAGCAACTTGAAATATTCTTTTTAAACAAGCCATTTCAAGAGCTGTTATAAATAACTGAATGTTGCTTCCAACTAAATGTATCCAAAGCAATTTTTTTGAGAAATGTGCCATGCTTACAAAATAATTCCACTAACATTATTTATATTTGACTTAGATTTTAAAGTTTTACTTCTTTAGCTCCAAGAGGCTGCAATATCCAAGCCCCCACAAGGAGGCAGCCTGCAAATACCAGCAGAGCACTGAGGAAAATCACTGAGAACAACTGCATGTCATTACAATAAAACCACTAAAACAGCAAAAGGCACTGATTTATTGGCTTACACTTAGAGGTAACATTCGATGTGGCCGTTGCACTTCTGACCCTATGTGTTTCAGGGCTAATGGAGGATTCCGTTTCTATATTTACACAAACGTAAACAAAAAGTACTCAGGAACTGGCATGGACATTAAAATAAGGAAACTTGAAAGGAAGCGGATGAGTTTTAGAGGGCATAAACCATACAATAAAGGTCAGGGGGGTGAAAATAAACGTGCCAACCAGAGGAAACAAGGTGGATTGACTAAAGGAATGGAATGAGAGATAAGAGAAATGAAAGACAGGATGAAAGAAATGAGAGAGGCTTGTGTGACTCAGCTATTCTCCCTCACTGTGTTCAGGCCTGCTCGAATTCACCGAGGTCCTGTCTGAACTATTTTTCCACTGGGGGACTCGTCAGCATTCGGCTGACCCGTTTAATGGTGACATTTAGTAACTCTGTTCCCACGCTTCCACACAAAGCAGCACTGGAATAAGTAAAATCCTGACCGCTAAAGCTTTGCAAACATTTAGAATGTAAACAACCCCTGCACATTCGCTGTCCCTTTCAAATCGCTCATGCAAAGTCAACACAGCCGGACAGAGATAGTAGCCGGTCGGTCACAAGGGAGCTGCTCCTATTTGCATCAACTCCCCTTTAAGATGAAGGTGTGTCTGTTTGCAGACCGCAGACGCACACAGAGGCAGCAGGTGAACTTGATCTGTTTGTATATGACATCATTTTTGCTCCATGCCAGCTTGACATCCAACAATACAGCAGCTCATCAGTTATACAAGACAAACAGGTTTTGTGTGGGTCGTCCATGTGGGTAATACATAAACAAAACAGCTTCCTTTGTCTGACAGCTTTCATGATACCCCGAAAGCAGTAATGGATTTCAAAGTTATCTCACTGTTGGATGGCATTTATCCTCAGGGTAAGAAGAATTCATACCCTTATATTTCAAGACACCCAAAGTTCAGAGGGGAAATTTATTCAGAGGTGAGTTTACTGGTATGTCTTTTAGTTGATGGGTTGCTAAGAAACAAGATGTGTAGCCAGGAGAGGGGTCTGGGTTTCTGTTGTGGAAATACTCATCAATATAGGCGTGTGTTTGTCTTCTTAAGGCTCCAATCAATGCATTCTCAATAAGCCTTGGATGCCGATACCTAAAGTACTTTCAAGATCTGGATTCAAAGGCTCTAAGAAGCTCTGTAGAACCCTGTGATCGTGTTCTACCATGTTTGAAAGTGACCTTAAAAGATTAAACAGTAACTTGTATGGACCCAGTTTAAAAATGCAAGACAATATAAGCAAAAAAAAAAAAAAGAACTAAGGATATGGGCGTGAAGTGAAAGGCCTCCAAAACCTTTCACAACTGTAACATTTTGTCACAGTACAACCACTCTAACATATTAAAAAAATGCAAGTTGTTTTTAACCAAAATAAAATGTCAACATTTTTTTACATTAAAAGTATAGAGGACGATCTTCTTTTCCCAGGTGGCTCATCGAAACAAGCGGTACTCCTAATTTAGAAGAGGGCGGGTCTTCTAAAAAATTTGTAAAAATGCTCCACAATACTTTTAAATACTTAATATTTTGAACAACCTCGAACAAGTTATTTTCCTCTATTGCCCTGTTTTTTCTCGAGCCTACTCTCTAGTTTTCCTCACCTTCTTGAAATAAAACCCTCCACCATTTCTCACAGGATGGATAGTGTGTTTGGGAGGATGTGCACTGTGCTCTCACCACCACAGCATTTTACAAATTCTAAGTAAAATTGTTTTTATAAAAAAACAAAAAACAAACAATATCTGGTAATACATCACTCATTGCATTGGTAAGAGGATCAAACTGATGGTGCACTTACAGCTAGTTGCATCAATGTTATGTAACCAATACTGTTAGGATTTCTTGTTAAACGACTCAAATACCACTAAGACTTGATTAAATAATGCTGCACATCTTCACACACCAGAGACAAGTTGGTCCAAAAGACTGTTTTTTTTGTTGTTTTTTTTGTCCCGCACTGGTGGAGCACAAACACAACGAGAGTCAGAAGAGGTCAGGAAACGTGAGCCCAATGTGGCTACAGAGGAATGTTTTGCAAAGTAAAAGGCCTGGGTAACTTCACTTATGATCCCTTCATTGTCTTTCAAAGCTGCCTGTCCAGGAGAAACTGGGTGTGTCAAACAGTAGAGACGTTCAATAAACACATTTTCTGGAAATAAATCAGAAGCTATTAAAGCAGGGGCTTTAAGCTTTTTACAACCCAACACTGCCGAGCTTTTTGCTATTGTTTAGTTTAGCTTGAGATTTACCAGAGCTTCAGGAGATTATGCATTCATGGTGCAAACTTGTGAGATCTAAAAGTACTTTGATTTGCAGATTAATGTGGAACTGGGTCTGGGTATTATATGAGTTTATGAATCAAGTTATTCATTCTTCACTCTGACCTGAATGACTGAACAGAAACACCATGCACATGGTTTGTAATGACACTCATACTGTGGTCATTTAGATAATTTATGCAGCTCCTTTAATCATCATTTGACTTTTTCACAGTTACTCTGTTGTCCTGCAAACTTGAGCTGGATCCCATTTATCCCTGATTCTACACCGGTGCAAATTTACTGGCAATTTATTTAATGGCACATTTGGCCCTCATTAGTTCAATTTGTAGAGTTTAATCATATGTTTGATTTTTATTAGCTATTAGACAATATAATACTATTAGACAATATTATATAAATTATTGATAACACCAAAAACTATAAGAAAGAACATGACAATGTTTTTACCCCTCAAGCAACACAACAATAATGAATTAAAGTAGTGATGCATTACCCAGAGGAGACTAATTTACCCATTTACATTTGAAGATATATTTAAATATCTGACAGAGGAAGAACACATATTTATAAAGGTTAATTTTCTTTTAGTATGTTAACAAAGTCAATTCACTTAGAAAACATAAAAAAACAAAAAACACTTGGAGACCTGATAAAATGCAGCATCTATTTTTCCACAAAGATAAACCTTTTTTTTTTTTTTTTTTTAATTGTCAAGTTTTTATAACATTGTGAGCTGTTTTACAATTTGTACGTCTAAAATCACAACTAGACGATCAAATATTCAGAAATAATCTATCACAAACATTAAGCTTAAAGTTTTTTTTATGTGTTAATTCTCAGCTACTTTCATGCTGGGAAACTATTAAAATGCATTTTAAAATGTGCAAAACAACTCTTAAACATTGATCTGTTTTGTCCCAGAGAGGTAGACCTGACTGGTCAATTTTAGACTTCCTTTTAAATGTTGACCCAACTACCATAACATCTAATTTGGTTGATCAAAAAAGGGTAGATATACTGTATGTGCCTGGAGTATAGTTTACCTATGTGTTAATTAAATAAATCTGCTGGTATGAGTATTCAGTAAATGTGGGCCCTTTTAGCATTCTGACGCCATACATGAATAAAAAATTACCATTAGATTATAAAACCCTTAGACTTTCAGACAGTCTCTCTTGACGTCTTAAATTTAAAGTGAACTTGATACCTTTTAGGGTTTATATTATTTTGTAATAATCAGACATATTAAGTCTTAATATTTCTTGTTTAAATCTGGAATCATTTTTTTAAATAAGTGCCACTGTAATTGAGAGACATTATACTTTTTGATTTTGATAACAGTCATAAATATATTTGACCTTACGGTCCTATATTTCCTTTTACTCTACTTATTTTCTACTCACCTAAGCGAGGATCAAACCTCACAGCAGTGAGGTGATCATTTTCCTTCAAGTTGCTATCAGGCGGCAGGGGAAGGGAGAAGGTGATTGGTCCGTTCACCTGCAGATCTGTTCCATCGCTGGCAAACAGATGTACAGAGATGGCTGCTACAGGGGTCAGCTCAAACTTCTTCTCTGTGCCTGTGAAGATCCATACAAGAGAAGGTAAGAGAAAAATGGTGCAAAAAGGAGAGTGAGCAAGAGTAAGGTAACAGTGCAAGGCGGGGGGGTGGAGACAGAGGAGAAAGCACATTTGTAACAAAACAATAAAAACAAACAGCTAAGATAAAGGAGAGCCAATGAGCCAGACAGGAAACAAAGCACAGAAAAACAGGAAAGAAGGAAACAAGGGTAAAAACTTGGAGACAAGATGTTGAGCGTCACAAAGGGAAAACATGCAAATGCTGCCTGAAGGAAAACTTATAAAACAGAGAAATGTGGAGAGCTGCTTAAGCTTAAGGAAGACTGGGGACATACACAATTATAGCAAATATGAAGCTGTGGAAGAGACTCCCTGACAGCATGCGGCCATGGGGTTTGTGTTAGAGCAGAAAGCACAAAGGAGTTATTGTGTTTCAGTAGATAAAACAGAAAAGCCTCCAGAGGTAGTCGATGTACCACTACTGACACACCGACTCCCCGGTCCCTTACTACAGCTTTATGCTGCTGTGATTTCTGTTGCAAAAATGCCTTCTTTACCCACTCTGTTCTGGACCTTTAGTGTGACCCTGACCTGTACTGTTGCCGCCCAGAATCTGCAGATGAGGAAAGTGCTGGATGTGTGACGAGGAGCTCGCCACAGTGAGCAGAGCAGTCAGGTTTGTGAAGGATGTGTTGGCGGGAAGAGTGAGAGCTCTGCGCAGAAACTGAATGCTGGGCTGGGCTCCTAAACCTTTAAAAGGGAAAAGCAGGTCAGAGAGCAAGGGACGTTTATTTCCATTTAAGTACTTTTTGAATCAACCTGCAAATATATTTTAAAGCTTGAGGAAAGTTGATGGTTAAGACTGAGAAATCAATAAACCATTGTCAACTGTCTCCAATTTCCCCAACTATTATTTCCACGGTGAACAACAAAATGATGCACAGAAAAGTTGGCTGATGACAGAAATCTAGGGCTGTAACAAACAATTATTTATTAAAATAAATTTTATCAATTATTGTGATGCTTAATCGAGTAATCAGACAAAAAAAATTCCACATTCTACAGATTGTTCCCTTTTTGCTTAAGCGTCTTCAAAGAGTGATAGTGATACAGGATAAAATACACATAATTTATTTCTTTTTTTTTATAAAAACAAAAACCTAGCTCTGCAGTGCAAATGGTTATAAACAGGAAGGTTCACAAAGGTTCTTTGTATATTTGTTCAGTTTTTTGTTTTTTTTTTGCTTTAAAACACACAGATCTACTTAAATAAACAAACCTTTTCTACGTGCCAGATTTTTAGAGAACCAGAGAACTTACACTTTCTAGTCAATTGGTTCTTTGAAAACTAAGAGAAGGCTGCCCGCTTAAAGAAATAAAGCAAAAGGATCAGCTGGTTATATAAAAGGAAATATTTTTACATAGCAACAGATTTCCTTTTTTTATTTGAACTTTAAAACAGGAAAATATTCAAAGTTATCAGGTCAGATGTATTGTGGTCCAGCCCAGCAGATTTCTCAGTAAAGCTATGCTTTCGTGTACATCTTATGCTGTTCTGTGGAGAATGGGCTACACAAATTTAATAGCGAAACAGCTAAAATGACTTTTTCTCGTAATTTATATTTTTTAAATATTGTTTTGTTAAACAAAATTGATGGCTGAAGTTATTTACAGTATACAGAATATGGGCTTATGAGCCACATCTGGCGCGGAGGATGCTGGTAGCCTTAAAACACACTACTGATTTAAAAAATACAAATGTTCAAACTCAAGGCCCAATAACATATTGAAGGTTTTTGTTCCTAAAATTTATCTAAAACTCAGCATATCAAACATATTCACCCATTTGCAATCTTAAACTGTGTCAAATAAGAGGGGAAAAAAAACTTCCAAAGCCTTCTGGGACACCAGCAGGGGAAGAGGTATGCAAAAAGTACAAGATAATAAAGGCCCCCCCCCCCCATGTTTCTGCAGAATGCATCATGTTTTTCATGTCATTACTTTAACCCTACCTGTCAAGTTTTGGTTCAGTTGTGAGTTTTGCACATGGAGACCAGCTCACAGATTCATGCTTCCTTTTTTTTTACCCTCTAGAAGCACTTTAACACCAACCAGCCATTGAGGGGCATATGAGACGGCATACACAGTCAAAAACACTCCTGACACATTGGATTAAGACAAACCACTATTATGAACGTTGACAAGTAAAGTCCTAAGTAGGTAAAATACACAGATTTTTTTTTTCAAGAAAATCAAAAACAGGTATGAAAGAAAGTTATGGGAGATTGGTTTGCACCTGTTTAGAATTCAAAATGTTGCACTATTTTTTCCAGAATGTTATACGAAGCATCTTTGTTTTCCTCATCTTGGCCTAATGCTTTTTTTATATATTCACTCAGTCATATTTAATGGAAGTGATTCAGGATCGATGCCTTAAAGATAATGCAGACGCCGGCCTTTTCCCTGAACCATCCTGACGCCTTCTTTTGCCATTTCCCTGCAAATTTAACAGTTCCCGACCGCAAATCTGCTGCTTGCCTATACATTTTATGTTTAAAGTAATAATAAGAAAAAAAGAGCATGTATCCAGACTTGGCCAGGTGATGTCATTGTGGTCCGACTGTGTTCAGAGCACATTCCTTAGCAATGAGACAGACCTAGCAGCCTGCAAGTGTTCCCAGTTTGACTCTTTCTGGGAGTAGAAGGTCCACTTTCATGTTTTAAAACTTGCTCTTAACAGCAAAGTTTAAAAGGCATTTCTTTGTGTTGCCCGTTTTCTTTTCCCTCCACTTTTTCCTCATCTCATCTGTTCCTCCCTCTGTTGGACTCTTCACTGCCCATCCCCCTTTCTACCATCTACCACCCACCCTCCCCAAACTGCTCCACCCACCTCCAACAACACATAACACGATTCTTCCTCTCCTCTTTTATTACCTTTATTTGTGCCACACGCCAAGCTTTATTACTCCCCAAGGTGCTGTTACACCGACACAAAACACTGACACAAAGAGCTGGAAACAGAGCTGGACCACACTTCAGCGTGGTCCCCAGCCTCATGGTTTTTAGGAGGTCTACATCTTAATGGAGCCTGCTGAATATATCCGTCATTTTTTTCTCTCTCTCGCCGTCAGAGACAAAAAGAATGAATTACAAGCTGGCTGGTTACAAATACACAAAAGAGCCAGCAGACAAAGAAACTGAATCAATTCAAATTACTATGACAGCCTTGTCTAATGCAATTACTTCTGAACAAAAAGGGCTAAACTACAAAGACACAATTATGACTCGTCATTGCAAATTGGATTTCTACTTCTAATATTTAAAATATCCATCCACTTTTATTTATAAGAAAGTAGGAGAGAAACTACTTAATGTATTGTTAAAATACTTAAAACCTAAAAAAAATGTTCAACGGTGAGTTGCTGACATATTTATGAGTGATTCTAAAATCTAAATTTTTTGGCAGTTTAGTTTTATGGTAGTCTAAAGCAAACAATAAATTACAGGGGAGTGGGAAGATTGTTGGAAAAAAGCTGGTCAAATCTAAAGTTGCACAAGATACTGTAATGTGCTGGATTAACAAAGGCCTGGGTGCAGATCGGGTTTACTGGCCTTTTCATGGAATCAGCTGTGGTTAGATTGCAGAGATGAGCCCTTCTTTAGGTTGCCTCCAGTCAGTCATATTCAACCACACCAGCTTCAGCTGGCCACAAACAACGATAATGTTTCAAACATAATGATGTCAGCTTGTAGAACCGTTGATCTACATCTCACTGGGTGGCTCAGTCCAGTCATTTTCTTATGCAAAAGCAATATGGTGCAAAAACAATAACAAATATTTAATCAACCTTTAGTCCTTTATTTTCATTAATCATTTTTTTCCTGCTAATTAACTTTGTAGTTGTCTGTTTGGCAGAACATGTTTCACTGAATGGAAATAGACTATGAACTATACAAACCCTGTTCTTGACAGATTTCCTTCATTTCATTTCATTTATTGTTTATTTGAAAGGGGACAGTGTACATTAATCAACATTAAAACAATGGAAATATACCCGAGTTAGCTAAGGAGTGCTAATTTTCATCGGTAGTCCCCCAGCCAGGTATAAAAAAGGCAACCTTAAAAATAAACACAAGTATAAAATCACAAATGTGACAAATGTGTATGTACTTTTCCACATCTATCAGATTCAATATTGAAGAGAAGCTGAAAGCTCAAAGGTATTTTTGGATGAAACGAGCAGTAAAGCTTCCCAGTTATCTACCCCAAAAAAAGTTTAAACTAACATCATGTGGCGGAAATTTCCTTTAAGCTGCCAACTTTTTCCAAGTATATTAATAAAGCAGTAAAAGCAAATGGCAGGGTCCCAAAATAACTGGTATTGGTCAAAAGTCAGGCAGTTGCAATAATCAGCAGATAAAAAAAAGCCTCTTACTTTACTTCTAAACACCTCACTGAAAACAGATACCAACTTGGATTATTCTCTCAACAGAAAGAGACTTGTTATCAGCTTGAACTGGTTTAGCAAAGGTTTGCTGATCAGAAAAGATCAGATGTAGATTCTGGTGAGGATGAAGGTAGGCTAACAAGCTGAAAATTAAGCCAATTTTGGTCACCAATTTCTGAGTGCATCTCTAAAAGCTGGGAGCTGCAAGTGTGAAGTCCTAAATTTCTAACAGAATCGTTAGGACAGTGAACATGTTTGACTAAAAAAACAGTTAAAGACACAGGACTTTTTTTACCTTGTTGACTTGACTTAATCTCAACAACATCATCATACACCATTAGGGTAGCAGCACGTTCTGGAAGGAGATCCAGACTGATGGAGGAAAACACTAAAAAAAAAAGGAAGCAGGACAACATGCAGTTGTGTTAAAACTTAGAATATATTCACTGTCTGATGAACAAATTACCTGGACAATTTACTGATCATTATCAGACATTACAAGTCATTAATGTAGCTTTCTACATTTTTAATAGCCCAGCTTTCATCCTGTGTGCAGCAGGACAGACGCCTGACCCAGCAAACTGTACCGCTTTCCACTTCCCTTCCTTCCTTTCACTCCTTCATTGTTCAGAGCTGGTAAGCGTGATAATCCAATTGGCTGCCGTTCTGTTGGCTTGTAATAACCTTCCCCCAAATAAACCCCCCTAAAGTCACACTGACACACACAGAGCAGCACAGGCTCCTGGGATTCACTACGAGTGTGTGTGTGTGCTTACTGAAAGGGCTTAGGAAGACCCCTTGCTGGGTTTTGGCATCTGATATAATAAATTAGTAATGAAGCACTCCACTCATCATAAGCTCACACACCTGACACACACAAGCAGTTTATTTCACGCACAAACTAGTAGAAGTGAAACATGATGAACAGATCCGTTTCTGTGGGGAGAGTTCATTGTCATTTCATGCATTTGCCTTATAAATATCTCTCACTTGTGCACATCTACCTACCCGGTAATTTGGACGGAGTCCAGGGAACCGAGTTTGGCACATATCCCTGTTTGGTTGCGGTGACAACAAGCGGTGTCCCAAGGCTGTAAGGAAACTGCAAGTAGGTGTTGCCATCACTTGATGAGGTTTCCGTGGCTACAGAAGTGTGATTGGCGAAGAGCTGCACGGTGGCTCCAAACAGGGGCTGCTGAGTGCTAGCGTCGCTCAGGTGGACTTTCAGAGTCACATCTGCGAACAGACCAACAAACAGTGTGGTTAGATCATAGCTTTAATTGCGCCTTGCAGCGTATAAAATCTTAATCACAGTGGAAACGGGTGAAAAACACAGTGGTGTTATAATTAAAGCCATCTAAAATACCAGCATGTCATTATCTAGGCTTAGTTTTTGTGCCAGGCGTTTGGCCTCTAATCCACATCCCAGTCTGACCATTTTCTGGGTCCGAGCCAGTGGCACTTCCCCTCCAACACAATGGATCGTTTCCGTCTCTCAAAGAAGCCTTGGACCCGATAGAAAAACACAATCGCCATTATAAACAGCCCTAATGGATAATGGAAGTATGGAGTAGATCACTGTGGCGGTGTAAAGCCTCCATTAATGTTAACATATAAATAGACCTTATTCTATCATTTAAAACTTAAGCTTAATACTTTGCTCTGTAGCAACACAACATAGAGGGCTGATTGCCTAACAAATGTCTACTCTGTAGAGTGATTAAATAATCCAAATGATTTAAATGTCAAAGAAATAAAACGTGTTGGATTATCATATAATTATATTATTATTATAAGTGTGATGGAAAAACAGAGAAAAGGTTTCCTCTTTCTGGATGTTGTGATGTTTGTTAGCTGCCCCACAATTTTAGCAAATTTTGAACTTCGAGCATCTATAAACTACTGGAAGACTATAATCAAAGAAAGTGATGAAAACACCAGATCATTTTCACATTCTATTAAAACAATATCTATATATCGTTTCTTGTTTTTAAACATAAACCTAACAACCTTGAAGAATGCAAAATGTAAAACTAAAATGAAAATAGTATCAATCCATTAAGTTAGTTTTACCTATTTAACAGATAAAGTAGTACACTTTGACTTTCATTAGAGTATTCTGCTCTATGTGACACTTTTGCAGGTAAGAACGCTGTAAAAACAGGTTGGGTTTAAACTTTACTTTAGCTCAAGATTCTATATTTATTTCCCCCTCAAAAGTATTGTTTTACTCATTAAAATTTAATTGAGAAGCAGATGTTAACACACTGTAACACACTGAAGATAATCCTTTATCATCTAATAAAACAACTACCAGAATTCACTTTTTAGCCACAAGGGAAGATGAGGTTTTTTAATTATATATCTTCTAAAATAATCACTGCATTTTTCTCTACTAACTGGTTTCGCCCTAATTGAGGAAGTTAAAAAATACTTTGTAATTAATCATAATTCTTTGCTCTAATCTAGAGGGATGCTGTGCCTTAAAATAACAAATGCCACAGAACTGAAAATAATACCAAAATCAAATTTAAAGTTTTTTTTAGGTTATGTTACAACTTTGATTTATTCTATTGGGATTTTATGGGTTGAAAACACAAATTATTGCACTGTGAAGGGGGAAAATAACCATACATTACTTTTCCTTTTTTTCTTCTTCATTTTTTAGAAAACTGTAAAGAGTGGTGTGCATTCGTCTTCATCCTTGTTTGCTCTCTGAAAAAGCAACTAATTGACTTTATTAATCACTATATTAGTAAATACATTCCACCTGTATATAATGTAACTTAAAAATAATTGTCAGTATGATTCTGGTTGTATAGAGAAGGTCACAGAGGTTTGTTAGAAAGCATTAGCAAATAAATGCCTCATAAAAAAAAACAAAAAAAGAAAGGTGAGGTATCCTAAGATTTTAAAATCTATCACATCTAGGGCTGCAACTAACGATTATTTTGCAAATTGAATAAATACCGGTAGTAGTCGGATATCCAAAGATTCCTAAAAGAACACTTTTTACGAAATCAAACCAGGTAAAACTAAAACTTTTCCACTTTAGGAGTTCTGGATTGAGCATTTTGACAGATGAAAAATATTTTTTGTTATCTTAAATGCAAAATGTTCATATATTTCTTTTAAATTTTGGTATAATTACTGCTATAAGTGGGTTGCTCTGTCAGCTAAAGGCACGTGTTAGAGTCTCTATACTCTAAAACCATATATTCAATTAATAAATATGATGATAACTTCAATAATTGATTAATTATGATTAATCCGATTGTTTCAGCCCTAATCACTGCATTTTTAAAATAGAGCTGTATAGGAGTGGGTACTGATTTTAGCCGAATGAATTCTCTCATATTTTAAGTTCCATATTTTCCTAATATAAAGCACTAGTATAAACTGATAGATTAGGCAAAGACGGCAAACATCAGAAGAGCAGTCAATGTGCCCATGGTAACTCTGGAGGACCTACAGAGATCCACAGCTCAATTGGAAATATCTGTTGACATCTTGGAGTTGCGGTTAAAACACTACGCTTGCAGAAAACTACCACCACCAACAACTGATTGTGAAACATGGTGGCAGTAGCATTAGGATATGGGGATGTTTCTATAAGAAGGGGCATGGAAGAATATGGATGGTTTAAAATACAGAAGAATACTGGAAGCAACATGTCAGAAGCTGAAAAAAATAAATTAAAACTAGAAACTACGCCACAGATTCACCTTTTAGAAGATAGAGACCCTAAACATAGAGCCAGAGCTAATATTGAACGATATGGATCAAACCATAAATATTTGATTGGCTTGCACAGTTCAAGTCTATTTCTAGGTAAAAATGATGCAGTACTAAGGCAAAGTTTGATACATTTTATAAGAGCAATTAGCAGAAAAATAAAAAAATCAAAACAACAACAACAAAGTCATTACTACGGCAAAAACATTTAAATTGTCCAACAGAGTACGACTCAAGAGGGAAAAAACAAAACTGAAAACCACTTTCCATTGTGCATAACTTGGTGTTGGTCTCTGATAAAGTCACAATAACTTTCATAAAATGTGTTATAAGGTTCAAATATGAGTTAATTAAATCATTCTTTGGCTTCTCTTACAAAACCTTTAGGCTCTGCATATTCCTCAAATAGTATTTAAATTGAACAGCTCTCTCACACTGAGGTGCAACCACTGGCATTACACCAGCAAAATGAGGACTAATGTTTTAGAGAATCACTGATTCTCTAAGACATTCCTTCATACAACAGAGCCAAAGGTGTTTTTAGTTAAGAGTACCCAAACATTCACCAGATCACATATTGAAGCCAAAGGTCCATTTATGCCCACAAACAGGGGATATGATAAAAACAACCATGAAGAAAAACACTGTAAACACACAATGCCACAGATTTCTGGTCCTCTTTACAGACAAGACAGCCAGAACCCTGTCTGACCCATGGTGACCCCTCACTTACAGCTAAAAGGTTTCTCCAGTGATATGTCTCCACTAAACTGTGCTTGGACTGCTTCTTGAAAACCCCACCCTAAGTGAAACGCATACCTATCCTATCCTTGACTAGACACATTACCCTCCCCCCACTCAGGGATCTCCTGGTCAGGGGGAATCCACTCGGTCGGCATGAAGAGGAGAGTTCAGCCACAGTGCAGGCTCCACCTAACAGTAGTTATCTGCCTGGGATAAATGGGTGGAAGGTAACTGGTGCTTAGTGCAAAGCCAGATTTGGCAGAACAGAGACTCAGTCCTACACTAAACCAACCATTATCCTGCAGCTTGAAGATCTGCTTCAATCTACTTCAATCTATCCCTTCCACTGCAATGCAAGCAGTCCCCCCCCCCCTTTAAAAAACTGAACTGTTCATTGCCTTTTATGACCTCATGTCCTGTCCCACTCCCACAGATATGCTGCTAGGGGTACCAGCTGTGTTCATTTAAAAAAGAAATACTCCTCTGGGAGGGTTGGGCCTAAATCGCAAGAACAAATCCAACAGCCTCCTCCCAGTGCTCATCCAATAAGTCACTACAGAGGTGACATCATGGTTAAACAAGCTAGGAGTCCATGTTCCTTGCTCTAAAAAACGTGAGAGGAGGAGGTGATCGGTCTGTTCCGACCCAAGACCCCATATTTCAAACGAGGATCTTAACTCCAGACGTCCTCCAATGTGTGTATGAAAACTAAAGGCATCAAGGCTTTTAATTTAACCAACACCATTTCTGATTAATGATTACCAAAGACAACAGCAAACACAGCTGGGTGATTCTCTGTTTAAAAGAAAGCTGATTCAATGAGAGCAAAATGAGGAGAAAAAAAACTAAAATCAATCTGCAGGTTTACAAATGTAAGGTTTTTGGAGAGCCACTTCTAACTGGGGCTATAAAGAGCTCAGAATGGCTGATATGGGTAGCCTCCACTGGGTTTCTGTCTGTGTGAAATACCTAAATGTTCTTCCAAATAAGGGGAGGAAAGTCAATAGCTTTTTTGCACACTATACATGATGGTGCAGAAAGCAGAAACACTAGAACTCAACAAGCTCATATCTTTTCTGTTGCTAAAAGTTTTATCAATATACATTATTTGATATACAGTATTAGGCCATTTTAGTTATATTTTGACAATAAATTAAGTTCTAAAAAAAAATTAAACAAAATCAGTTTATGCTGCAAGCTGTTGCATGTCGGCTGCATTTCTGTTTAATTCATTACAGAGATGCAGCGAACAGCAGACTCAAGTGATCAGAATCTAATGTGTGATAAACCGGCCAGAAAAGTCAGAGTCAAACCCAACTTCTTATGGGCAAAGAGGTTGAAAACAATCTTTTGTCGTTTTTAACTTCTCTGTTAAATTAAAATTAAGCTGTAAGCCCCCAAAAACTATTTTCCACAATGTGTCAAGATATATCTTTGATTCATTTGGGCTGCATCAGAGAACCAAACTTTCTGCTGATAACAGGAAGGCTGAACAGAGTATAGAAAAGCTGCAGTTTTGTTTTAGACTTTTATTTAACTGTCATGAAATGTGGCTCTACAGTTAAATAGGGAACGCATTTATTGTCCAAGAAAATTAACATGATTAAATAGAAAACTAAAACATTTGTTTCCAATAGGAAATTAGGCCTGCTTTTCTCAAAAGACAATCAAAAATGTTTAATACACTTGCTGACCAGCTTCATGGATGTTACAACTAGTAAAAGAGCCTCTGCACTCTTTATATGGTTTATAATAGT